AAAGAAAACTCATCGATTAGCCGCGTTTTTCGATGGTTCATCGATTAACAAGTGATCACGAATTCCGCCTTTTTCGAACAGCTACCATTTTCTCCGAACATTCATCACTAAACCTGAAGTACCCCTGAAGTACGACAGCTGATAGAGTGCCTCAATCACTACTAATAATCAAAAAAAGAATTTCAAAACGTACGTTGCCGCTAACATTGCTGAGCGAAAAGTATTGAGACAATTAAAACTAAGCTTGATTTTCGTTTACCAGCAACAGAATTAGAGTTGTTAAAATCAACAGAACGATTTGAATTACAATTACAAACACATACAAAATGTTTATTATCACAAACGCTTCATATGGTATTTTCATTCACTACAAATCCATCTGATCTTCTTACTAATATTACTCAATCAACTCGAACTCTAACTCAACTAGTTTTATCGCCGAGTTATATACAGGGCGATCCTAAAAAAATTTACCCCCTGTATATTTATTGACTTTCTTGTGTACAGATATAATTAAACTTTTTATCATTAGTTTATTCAAATAGAACAAAGGTTTCTGGACAAAATGAGACGTCTCCCAGCTCTCTAAGAACTTTTTTCATGAAACAGCATTGAATTTACGGAAGGTCTCAAGAGCATATTTTCCTTGTTTGCCCATTAATTGTCCCGATTTTGGTGGTATGGGACCTTCCGTAAATTGAATGCTGTTTCATGAGAAAAGTTCTTAGAGAGCTCGGAGACGTCTCATTTCGTCCAGAAATCTTTGCTCTATTCAAATAAACTAATGGTAAAAAGTTCAATTATATTTATACACAAGAAAGTCAATAAATACACAGGAGGTAAGTTTTTTTTGATCACCCTGCACTAATACAAACATGGTATACAATTAATGCTTTAATAATAAATTTAATGAAAAAGATATGTTCTGATGTACACGATATATTAATTGGATTATGTAATAGTTTTCAAACATTAATAAAAATATAATTAAATAAAAATGAAAAAACTTTTTTAGAAAAATGTATGGAATTCAATATTCTAAAGAATATATCAGAACAAATAGAAAGTCTTTGCTTAATATTAAATAATAATCGTTTCAGTTTAAAACAGTTTTGTGATAATCTATCTGATCGATGGCATTTAACAACAAAAGAATTTTTACGTAATACTATAAAAACACAAAAATTTCAATTACATACTGATATTAAATATAATGAAAGAAAATTAAAACAACATACATCATTATTAGAAAAAACACAAAATTCACGAGAACTTGTTTTAGCTGATATACCAAAAATAATCGAAAAGAAAAATTTAATTTTAATGAGTATAGAAACAAAACAAGATTTGGAAAAATTACTAAATAGACTTGAAATTATTTATAATTTAACAATTAGTGGTTTGAATCATATTGAACATTTTTTAATGAACACAACAATTGAACAAATGAATTATTTATTAATATCAACATTTTATTATTCAATAATAAAGCTGTATGAAAATGGTGAAAATGTTTTATTTAAACAGTTAACAACATACTTAGATTCAGAAAATAATGATGCAACAACAATTGCATTCGATGTTCTTAAGAATATAAGTAAATTGGAAGAGCATGCATTTGAAGATTTGTTAAATATGTGTAAACAACATATAAAAAAGTTCATTTGATGAATTATGTAATCTTCAAAGTGATATGCAATCAATATTAGAAAAAGTAAAATATATAGTAAATGACTGGTATCATGCATGCAATGTTTTTATCCAAAGACGACAAACAAAAAAAACTAATATTACGAGAACAATATGTCAAGGTGCTTTCAGATTTTGGTCTCTACTCCCTCATGATCTATAATCAGAAAATATTGAAGAAAATTTGAATACACTATTCGTTGATTTGGTCAGCGATACAGCTCATTTTATGTAGCAACATCAACAAGGAAGTTGTTATATTCTCACGTTAGCTCCATCAGAAATTCTTGAACAAGTTCGATCATTACATCATCTACATAAAACTTTATCGAAACTTAGAACATTGAATTTGTCACAATTCACGAAAGATTATGATTGTTTTCAGTTAACGATACACCCCCCCCCTCTTTTGGGGCATCCCGTAGAAATGCTGTGAAATAAAAACTAAAAGTCGCTAGGGCTTCGGATTTTTAGAACTGATTGGAACTCGATGGAGTACTTTTTCCTTTTTGTTTCAAGTTTTCAGCTATTGTCGTTCACTAGTTCTTCAGAAAACTCGATTTGTCATTGCGCCCCATCACGACCCCCTTTAAATTTCATCCGATCGAGTTCAAAATTTTATCATAGATACTTAAGGTCATTCCGCAGGGGTAATTTTTTGCAATTTTATTTTAGACTTTTCTTTACCGAGTTATAGTGTTTTTAAATTGAAAAACTTGGTCCTGGTGACATTTTTTAGTATTTTTCCTATAACTCGGTCAGGAAGATTCAACTTTTAGGTGCACTATTACACATGTCCGAGCAACCGTTATTCGTGATATTGGCCCTAGAACAAGATATAAGCAGGCAGTCGATAAATTATGGATATTAAGAGCATTACTTCTCCGTGAGGAAAAATCTGAAGTCTAAATAACAATATGGGACAATTTGGTAACTGTTTGCAATTATCTAAATTTCAGCTATCTTTCTCGCTAAGAATTTTATGCATATTTAGCCGATAGCAAACAAAACTAATTTGACTGATGCACTGATTTTACTAAAAAATGTCCAAACTGAATGTGTAAAATTTTGTTTTGAACATGTAGTGAATGATTGTTTCTTGTTCACTTTATCTGTAACTAGTATGTGTTATCTTGTTGTTTATTATTGACAATTCATACAACTTAAAGGTTTTCCTTTATGACACTTAGAGGGCGAGTAAATTGTGTGGGATTCACCAACATTTTAGAAATTATTATATCAATTTTAAAAGAAAACTCATCGATTAGCCGCGTTTTTCGATGGTTCATCGATTAACAAGTGATCACGAATTCCGCCTTTTTCGAACAGCTACCATTTTCTCCGAACATTCATCACTAAATCTGAAGTACCCCTGAAGTACGACAGCTGATAGAGTGCCTCAATCACTACTAATAATCAAAAAAAGAATTTCAAAACGTACGTTGCCGCTAACATTGCTGAGCGTCACAATTCCTCAAAAAGCAAATATCGTAGATTAGAAAAACGTCTTTACTTCCGCTGCGCACACGAAACGGCGTTTTCTAGCCGGAAAATCGCATTTCTCGATGGTTTAGTTCTCCACAGACTTGTTAGTTTAATGTATTTTGTTTACGAAAAGAGAGAGTCATCAAAAGTTCGTGACCTAGAATACCAATGACTCATGCCAAACACAAACAAAGCAACAAAAACTGTATATGTTTTTTTGAGGGTGTGCGTTGAGGTTTTTTTTGTTGCTTTGTCAGTGATATATTTCAAATAGTTGATATTATTTCTGAAACGTAAAAAGAAATATTAGAAAATGAAATTAACAATGTGACGTTAAATACTGGAGAAAAAATTAATATTTAGTCTATTTTTAATGATATATTTACAGGAAAAGAGGAATTAAAATTAAGTGTTGATGATATTATTAATGAATTAACCTTATTTAATGAAATGCAATTCTTAAATAATAATTTAATTGACAATCAAATTAAAAATATAATTAAATATATTGAGTTTCATGAGACATGCATAATTAATGAAAATTTTATGAATAAATTTATTACTAATAACTATGATAATACTTGTCATTTGATCAAAGAAAAAATCAATATATTAAAGAATTATTTGAAAACATGGAATTGATACCAGGTAAAAATGAAATTTATTGATTTATTTAATAAAATTAAAATTAATAAATGCATATGATGAATATTATTTTGTACTGAAATATTGTTTCAATCTAAACTTTGACGTCTATTTAGTGAACATTTTCTTATCATGCGTATGTATTTTTTGTAAAAACAGTCCAAAACAATACAATTTCTATAAGGAATTAAATAAGGACATAAGAAATAAGATTATTTTTGACAGGTACCAGAGTTACTTGATGCGCTGATGAATTCACACTGTTGCTCCAGAATATAAATTTTCATGCTGCTTGTTTTCTTTGTTAAGTTCACGTGAGAAATTGATGGTTGTGAGTTGATGCTAGAGGAGTGTCCCGGATTCCATTATTATAATTTTCTTTGTACGAATAAATTTAACAAGAGTACAGTTTGTCACCAAACCCTGTGTACGTCATTTTGGTGAACAGAGATAAACGTGAATAAGTTGATATTTTTCTACAAAACGGTAAAAGATGAAAAAGTCTTTACACCGGAGATTAGAAAAGAGAATACTACCAACGTGTATGTCTCTATTATCTGTTATTCTATATAAACGTAAAAACATACAGGTATACTTGACTAATATCAATATGAAAAAGGCTTTACTTTCAACGATACATTTGAATTCATGCGCAATGCGACGTAAGGCTGTTCTAAGGGAAGTTAATGCTTTTAGATAAAACAACATGATGTCACTTAGTTTTCTGACTGTTTCTCTCAAATAAAAGTCACAAACAGTACGGAGTATGAAGTACATGCAACATAGTTATCGAAAGGCTCTTAATTACTGAGTGGTTTGACTTAGTCTCAAAAACTACCCTAGTGAAATTATTTTGTTCATGGCCATTTCCGCATTGCGTAGCATGTCACGCACATTTGGCACTTCTTGTCATGCTGTGGCTTTTGGCTTTGCTTATGCACATGAATCTGCGCATGAACAGATTCGAGCTACGCAAATGCGCATGACCTGCGAGTGGTTGCATGAACTTTTCGTTACGTACAGGACTCTTCTCCCCTTCTTAGTGCGTCTTGTGGGTGCTTTTATGGTGCCATTAGTGTAGCGATTGAATTAGAATCGAAAATTCACTTTTCCACTGCTGTCTTACCATATCAATAGGGTTTCACATTATGCATAGTAGATATTCTACAAATAAAATATTTTTATAATAAAAGCATCTGAAATGTACCCAGCTACCACATTTACATTTCTTACTTTTGCTCTACTGTACAAAATAAGTATATCTGCATCAGAACTGGATAAACTATGCGCATGATAAAAACTTCAAGCAGTTCCTACATATTATGCGCAGATTTATGTGGACAAAAAAAACTTCATGCGTATATCTGCTTGGCTGTGCATGAGTCCTGCACACAGCACCAGGACAGTAATGAGGCATGCGCGGCAGAACATATTACTAATCGTCTGGTCATTTCTGTATTAGCTGTGTTTCCTTTTATTGCATATATCAACTTGTGCTACTGTGTACTTATGACTGCTTGTCAAATAAACTATCTAAATACATTTTAAGCTTATTACTACTTATACTTTAAGCTTTTTACTGTCAGTAAAATCAAAAGAAACTTTTTAAGCCACAGAGTAAGTTTTCAAGTTATACAGGCGTACGACATGTACCTGTCGAGGACATTGCCGTTTCCCCCTAACGGGAAAACAGCAACATTCTCAAGGAGATAGCTTGTTTCCCCTATTACACTGACTTTCTCTGCAAGCAGAGTGTTAAATTGGCGACTAAGACAGCGGTCATCTATATATTGACTCACAGAACCTTGTAACAGCAAAGATGAGTCGCCTTATATATACCAACATGTCTCATAGAGTAAAGTGGATAGTACCCAAGAAAAGCAGGGTATTTGCCAGCGGCGCACAAGTGAGGAAGTCACCAGATATCTTGCTGACATGTTCAAGCACTCGGTCAAGTACTGAGCAAGTCAACTGGTTTAGATTTTCTAGAAGGACCTTCTCGGATACCGTTCAAGTCTTCCCTAGGGGAACTTCTTGATGCAAGAAGCTTCACTAGGGTGTCCCCAAGAAATGCAAGAAAAAGAAGTGTCACTTTCTTGCCCAAGAAACGCAAAATCTTGGAGCATGTCGTGGGACAAGATCTTGGCCAAGAAATCAAAACAAATTTTCACTAGGGTTAGGGTACCTGAGTGAAGCAGATTCACTAGGGATAGTATGTCTTTTTAGACCACTAGTTTTCACCACGATCATTTCTGCAATATTTATTTGATAATGGGATATGAATTCTGTTCACTTTCTGCCCCACTTCATTTCTAGATGAATATGTGTACGGGACGGAGAAAGAAAAACAAAATTATAACACCATTAGGCGAGGATATCAGTTATGAGTTAAGTGCACTTTACCGAGCAAGTCGAGATAACGATATCAACCAAGTGGAACGTCTGCTTCCAAAAATGACCCTTTTCCAACTACATCGCGTCGAATTGAATGGGGAAACCGCAGCATATATTGCCCATACGAATAATAATGTGAAAGTTCTTCGTCTTTTGAGGAAGCGTGAGCACCAACTGGCCAAAGGAATTTCTCGTCCAGAATGGATTTGAGATATGAATTCTGTTTACTTTCTGCCCCAATTCATTTTCATTGACGATACAAGCGTTTTTCAGCGACGTTTAGCATTCGAGAATGCTATCGGAGACAGTCTGTATCAGTTTGGACTCATCACGATGCTTGCGAAGTTACGCCGCACTTATACATCAGGTGTCTTAAAGAAATGCTGTTACTTGTCGCGAGTGGAAATTCTTCAATTCCGTACGTTTCTGACACAAGCTTATGATGACCAGTCGGC